CTTTCCTTTGGGACTGCAGTGCAGCTTCTTACCACTAGGCCACCAGAGCTCCAGAATGACAGTGTGACCTTTATTGTAATTAAGGAGCTCTGGTGGCCTCTACCAGCCACTTTACAGGACAGAGATGAACAATCTCCTTTCATAAAGATTGACAGCTGCAGAAATCCAAAGGAGAGCTGCAATGTATTAGATTCAATGGGAGAGAGCTTGTGTACCAATGAGGGAGTTTTGCTTTTCAAGGAGAGGAGCAAACAGGGGGGATGGAGGTGAGTGGTGGGGAGAAGGTTGCAACAATGAATGAATGGAATTCCAAAATCTTTGTAGATGTTCATTGAAATGAAAAAGAAATTTTAAAAAACGTTGGTAAAAATCTTCTTAAAAAAAGTATTTCTTTTAATATCTTCAATTTATGGTAGGGAGGCTTGGTGCACTGTTAATACAAATGTGGGGGGTTCAAATTCACCAGCTGCTCCATGAGTGTATGACAGGCAATCTCCTCTTGTGCAATTTACAGCCTCTGAACACTCACTGGAGGGTCAGCTAGGAGTGGATTCTGATTTAATTTAATGAATTAATTTACAGTGATGCTGGCTTTTCATTTCATGGGTGGTAGTGTTTCTCTTCTATTTAAATGGAATCTCAGATAGTCAAGTCAGTCAGTCACAGTTCAGACTTGAGTGACCTGAGTGGAGGTGGGTGCTGGGCGCTGGGAAGCATTACCCAGCATGACATGAACGGGGTCTGGAATGCAGGGAGAGGACAGGCAAGGTCAGGCCTGTCCTGAATCTAGAAGGTGGTCAGGGGGCCCCCAGGCACCAGGAGCCAATTCCTAGGAAGTCCCACACAGTCCTGACTTGGTGATTCAGAACTCATCTTCCTTTGGAGAAAAGCATTTGGACTTTGAGGGCTTTCCCGCCCCTGTCCTGGAGAGGAGGCAGGCAGGAGGGAAGGGACTTTCCAGCGGTCAGCTGGGAAGGGTCCTCCCTTTGAGTGACAACTTGAGGCTGGCTCACCGTGACCTGCCACCACAGACCCCTCTTCGAGAGCCAGCAGAACATGTGCAGGCAGGCCTGGGGGGCCTTCCACTGGTCAGACCCTGGGCCATGTGGTCACTCAGAGCTGGGGCAGGGCTCGCTCACACCCTGATTGAAGTCCCAAACCCCGTGAGGTTGGCTGTTGGTCCTGCCCCATAGATGAGGAACTGAGACCTGATGAGGTCTCGCGAGTCTTGGGTCTTCTAGAGTGCTGTTGTTGAACGGTCATCCCAGCCCCTGGCCTGGGTGGGGCCCTCAGCTTGAGTGCAGGTCCTTGAGCCCCATGCACCGTGAGGCATGCACCGCCACCCTGCTCATTTTGGTGATGAGGAAGCTGGAGCATTGACAGGTAAGTGACTGATAGATGCCACCTGGCTGGCCTGAGGCACAGAAGGAACATGGGCCAGGGACTGTCTGGTCACCATGACCTCTCCACACGGACCAGGTGTCTGGTTCTGGTGAAGGGCCCCCAAACTGCTGTCATCGTCTTGGGCACCGGGGAAGGAGGATCATGGCTCTGGCTTTTGGACAAATGTTTCAGATTATTTCAATGCCATTTCCAGCTGGGGACTGACCACTGATCTATTTTCATTTTGCCAAGAACTCCAGGGCATGTGAATAGCACCCAGAATCTCAGGTGATGTAGGCCTGGATTCTTGCCGAGGGTCCTGCGGAGCCTGGAGGTCCTGACTCTGGGCTGGCTGGGTCTGTGGAGACAACTGGCATATCTGTGGGGGTGGAGGGTGCTACAGCTGCTGCCCAGGTCCTGTCCTCCGTAAGGCCTGCCTTCTCCTGGACACCCCAGCATGCTTCTTGTCACAGATTGAAGTCTTGGAGACAGGCCACAGGAAGGGTGCTGTGGGGACGGGTGGGATGTGGGTGGACAAGCCCTTGGCCACCAGCCCACAGTGCTGGAGGGATTCCAATCCTTATCAGGAGACAGGGGTACATTTCCAGGCTGGTAGTGTGGGCTGGGGGTTATGAAGAAGGGGTATCCACCTTTGGGGCCACCTTCTCTGCCTTGGAGGAAGGGGCCCTCAGTTTTATAATTTGGACTAAACTTGAGTTCTATTTTATGGTCTCGAGTGGGCTCAGGACCATCTGGGACTTGGCCACATCTAGGCCACATGTAAGCCTCAGAAGTTTCCAGAGAACTCTGTCCCTGATGTCCAGGGATTTCCAGGACTTAGGGGTGTGCTGGTGTTCTGTAACTTAGCCCAGTGGCCCTGACTTCATCTTGACTCTGTGACTCTCTGGCTGGAGAACGGTTTCCTGCCATCAGGGCCCCCTTTCTGGACAATCCGCTCAGATCCCAGCTCTTTTCTTCCCAATAGCAGTACCACCACTGCCCCAGGGCCCTGGGCACACTGGCCTCTGTAGCCACCTATTCCACGGAGGCTGAGCCCAAGATACCCTCCGCCCCAGAGGAGACAGATGCAAAACACCTATGCAGCTCAGGGAACTGGTCCTTCCTGAAAGGACCCACCGGCACCTGACAATTTATTTCCTGGTCCCAGAAGAGGGCTTGCCCACAGAAAGGAGGAAAAGGCCTGGCCAAGCGGGTCAGGGAGGCTCTGCCGCCCAGCACCTCACTTCATCTCTGCGGGGCGGGCGCACCGAGTCCCAGCACACTGCATTTGTGGTAACGTTTTTCTCTTTTATTGCCAAGTTGAAATTTACAAGGAAGTTCCAGTTTTCATTTCCACCCTGTGCTGGGTACCCACAAAGCATGAGTCACACTGGCAAAAGCCGGTACTTCCCTCGCCCAGTCCCTGGCTCAGCGCGGTTCCCAAACTTGCCTCCTGGGACAAGGGTTATTTACATAGATTCAGCTGAAGTAACACAGGACCTCGAAGTTTGTGCCGAAACCTGCAGGACGCCCTAAGTGTCTCCTATTTATCCGTTGAGATCAGAGCTCGGCTTGCCTGCCTTTCTGTCTCAGGGCTGCAGACACTCAAGGGGTGTCTCTCCTCATTTACCCACCTGCCTGCAGGTTTCGGGCGCAGACTCCGGGCCAGTCAGCAGTCATGAGACACTGGGGCAGGGCTGCACGTTGTCGGGGGACCCCTCACAGCTGATCTGGGCCCACTGGTGCCTGGTTCCTCCTCCCCTCTCCCTTCAGACTTATCAGCTCTGGTCTTGCCAGCGTGCTGGGTTATGGCCTGTGGTGATTCTCAGGCTGAAGTACAGGGGTTCACATGGCTGCTCTGCTCCCGCCTTTGGTGCCCACCGGGCAGACTTGGGGTGACCGTGGGGAGTCAGTGATGGCGGGTTAACACGGTGCCGCAAATGACAGCAAATGTGTTTCTAAGCATGGCCGTCAATTTAGAAAGTGTGCGGCAACGTGTTAAGTGGGTTTCTGCAGCTGATTCTAAAGGCCATTGACCCCAGGCCTAGACTCTCCCCAAGGATTCCCCCCTTCTCCACACTGAGGCAGCACTTTCAGATCCTCAGTGGCAATTATCATGATGACCTGGACCTGGGCCCTGGTTCAAGCTTGGACTGTCACTTGCCTCCTCAGGACCCCAGGGCACCAGGCCAGGCCACGTGCCCTGCTCACGAGGAGCCAGTGGCTTCAGTTTGTGTGTGGTCACCCCTTCCGATCAGGACTTGATGACTGGGGACACTGTTCCCACAGACATCCCTCTCCTGGGAGGGTGGAACAGAGTGCTCTCTTCTGGGGGGGCTCCCAGCTCTCCACTGCCTCCTCTGAGGCCAGGCCCCTGACTCCCCCGGTGTGGACATCCACTCCTGGGGAGGAATCAGTGGCCTCCTGGGTGGAGCACAAGGTGCCCCACTGACCTGGGAGAGGAGGTGAGTGCTCTGTCTGGAAGCAAGTCAGCAGAAAGGAGAGAGATGTCTTGGAGGTGACACTGGGGACCTCTGAGACTCGGTCCAAATGGGGCAGAGGAGTTCCGTTTTAAAAACAAGTTTGTGTCTTTGTAGAAGCAGCAATAAGAAGAACGACAAATCCAGTGCTCTCAAGATGAGTGAAAAGCTCGGGAATTAGGGAGGTCTCGGGGATCACACCTGCAGCTGGTGAGAGCCGAGAATCAATGCGGCTGGCAGTCCTCTCTCCTGGTCCCACCACAGCCTCTCGGGCCACTGGCTCCAAGCGTCCCAAAGGTGCAGAGACGGAAAATGAGCCATGAAGCCCATGCTCGCTTGGTTACTGTGATTCTGAGCGGGGGACTGGCGGCCCCCTCCCCTGGTCACACTCTCCTCTGGTTATCAGAGGCCTTGGAGCTCCAGCAGAGGTGCTTCCGGCCCCCTTGGTACCTGAGAATATGAGTGTCTTCCTTATTTCTGTGTGAAAAGAGAATGTAAGCTTTCCCAGAAGGGATTCTACCATTCCACAGGCTGGCAGAGTTTATGAGTAACAAGAGAACCAAGATCCTTGAAGAAAACACAGAAAAGCTGACCGAGAACTGGAAAAAAAAAAGACAACGGGAATTCAAAGAAAACAAAAATCAGGTCTCAACAGTGACATGACAGCAGACCTTTGGGGCAAGGAGGGGGTTTTTTACTTTTTAAATAAATGCTTTCGTCTGCTGCCAAAAGTGGAAATAAATATCCAAAGGAAATGTCTACCTAAAGACACTCTTCTACCTGGTTCTTCACAAAGCAGTCTTGCCTGTTCCTTCTGGGCACACCCTGGGTGGGGACAGAGGACAGCGGAGACCCCAGGAGGGGTGGCAGGGCCCTGGCCTGGCAATGGGCTCACAGGCATGGAGCTGAGGGCATGCTGCAGGGCACCTCCACCACTCGGTGTCTCTGTAGGTTCCAACCTGCTCAGATGGGCACAAAGTGAGAGAGGCATCCAGAGGAGAGGCGTGCAGTCTTCCAGTGAGCACGGGGGAAGAGCTGAGGCAGCTTGCTGGGGGTTGCTTCAAAGGCTCCCCGAATGTCCTTCAAGTCACCTCCACTGAGTCCCCTTCAGCTGCACGGGAGACCCTGGGTGCTGGCTCAGAGCTCACTGGGGTCTGCTGGCTCTGGTGGGGCAGGGTCCTCTCCCAGGGTGGCTGCAGGAGATGGGGGGATGGTGGTGAGGGTCCGGAGACTGTGGGGATCCACAGGAGGGACGAGGGTCAGCGACTCCACACTCAAGGTGTCCCCCGTGTCCTCGTAGAGCAGGGAGATGGTAGGCTGCAGGGCAGGGGTGAGGCTGGGGGACAGGGTGGCCGTTTCCACGTCAGCACTCCTCCCTAGGCTCCTGCTGGGCTTGGGGTCCACTTCTGTCTCATTGACGACCACCAACTGGTCGGGAAGGTGAAGCTGAGGTTGTTGAGGAGTTGTGGGGTCATCTGGGGGAGGAGAGAGGTAAACAGATGTACTCAGTGCCTGGCATTCTGCCCACACTAGGGCCTGTCCTGTCCTGTCCAGAGTCCTTGACTGGGTTGGCCCTGAGATGTAGGGAAGTGAGGGTGGTCAGCATGGGGGCCCAGCTTGTCCCTCCAGACACCTTAGGGGAAGCAGGGCTGGTGGAGCTAGTCTCACTCAGGGGCCCGGAGAAACTGCTGGGGTCCAGAGGTACCTTAGCTTGTGACAAGGGAAGAGCAAGTGGCTTGTGTAAGATCAGTGAGTGGGTTCCTGGAGCAGAGAAAAGCCTAAGGGGGTGCTTTCCGGAGGGGCGTTTTCTTCCCCACCAGCACCCTGAGTAACAGGCTGAAGGAGGATACATCTCTGTGTGTGAAACACCGGGACAATACCGGCGTTTAAACTGGGTGGCATTTACCCGAGAGGGGACCCGCTGCAAATTTAAAAAGAATTTTGGAGAACTTTCCAGCTGGCAAACCGAAACAAAACTTAGGAGTGTGGTCTGCCTCTCAGTTGAGTGCTGAGACTGCACACGGGAAGGGGCCGCGATGGCCTAGGGCAACCAGCAGCCTGAACTTCATCCAGAACTTCGGCTGGGAGCGGCAGGTTTGGAGTTTTTCCCTCCAGTGCTTCTCGGAATCCTTGGGTGAGAGGACACACACATCATGGATTTGCTTTCCAGTGACAAGCCTGCCTGGGCAGAAACACCAGGTGGAACATTCTGGGATTTCATGTGGCAATTCAGCCACTTACAAGAGGGCTGTGGGCATCCCACTCGGAAAGCAAAGTCATTAATTGATGAGGTTGTGGGGGGCTAGGTCATCGCTCGAGGGCTCACTGCTATTCTGGGCACTAAGTTGAAAAACACTTGGGGCCTTGAGAAGAATGGTATGCAGTTTCAGTTGTTTAATATGGTGTGTCTTGGTTTTTTTTTTAATTAAGCCAGAACAAAACAAAACTGCAAACTGAACACAGAGCAGAATAATGGCAAAACCAGGAGCAAAGTAAAACCCACAGAGCACAGAGAATGGGATGAAGGAGAAGAGAATCGTACCACGAAAGGAAGGCAGGCTTAGTCCTCCCAAGCACATGCCCAAATTTCTTCCAACAAGAAGATTCTATGAAGACAAGTGCTAGAAGGTTCTAACTATTCACAAAGAGTTTTAGTTTCCCTCTTTCTTAAAAAAAAGAAAACCAAGGCCAGTCCGCTGGGCCTGGGTCTGTTCTCAGGAAGGGGGCAGTGGACGCTGTGGGCAGTGAGAGAAAAAGCATGTCCTAGGCTTTCAACAGAATGTGGCTTCTCCACGCGCACGCCCAGGAAGCAGGAGCACATCTATAAATGCCAGTCCACGTGTGTGCACAGAGGCTGACGGGGCAGCTTAGCCACAAGTGGGTCTCCAAATGGCACTGTGATGCCACCCAGGGTGGGTCCTCCAGGCCCCCTCCACACTCAGGCACCAGGTTCCTCCTTTCCTCAAGTCTGCATCTGTACAGAGTGCTGGAAAATCTCTCTCCCTGACTCTCGGTGGGCTTTTGATGACAATAAAAATTAAGGATGTGGGAGGGCTGCAGTTAAAGAGAGACAATACCACGTACACACAACTGGCTTCTTCAGGAGAAGAACTGCCAATTTTCATACAAAAAGGTCCATTTCCCCTCCTTAAAAACAGCTTCTTTTCTACCCCTTCAACCTTCTTTCTATGTAAGAGGAAAAAAGAGCCATTTTAACCATGACCTATAACATTGTTCCTATTTTCTTTTTACGGTGAGGCCATGGTCAAAAAGCTGCTGTCACCGGCTGAGGTTTGGGGCTTTGAGGCTGCATGCTGGGACCTGACCCAGGAAACAAGGCATGCGGAGACAATCCCTGGCTACCAGCTGGGAGAGTAAATGAGCAGTCCAGGAGTCTGTGAGATGGCCAGGACTCCAGGCGGCTTCCACCTGGGATCACAATGTCCCCTGGGTAGTGGGCTCCCTTAGAAGTGGATCTGCAGTTTTGGAGCTGGGGCCCCAAGGGTCTTTGTCAGTGGAATAACATTTCCAGGTTAACTCTGGATCTGATGTGCTCAGGCTGGGTAGAGGGAGGAAGGAGGGCGGAACAGAGACAAGGAGAGAACCGCAGAGCCAGTCAGAGGACCAAATGCAGAAGGAAACAGCTTGGAAATGCAAAGCAAGACAAAAGGCTCCCATTGACAATCACACTGCCAGGTGGGAGAGGGCACAGAGAACACAGGGCACGGGAGCAATCCAAGAAAGGGCAGCAGCAGTGGCCCTGGCAGAGGTCAAGTGGGGACCTAGCAGCCCACAGGCCGGTGTTGGGGGCAAATGAGAGTCCTGCACGTGAAGGGCCGGAAAGTGGAGACACGCTGTCATGTGCTGACATGTGTATGTGCTCCTTAACTTTCTGCAAAGAAAAAGGAGCTCTTGGATTTCTTGGTTACTTTTCTCCCAAGTCCCCAACCCCTGTGGCCTACACGAGGGGGCCCTGTGGGCCTGGGGCTGGGGGGGGACCCTGTGTTGCGCCTGACACTGGAGGTGCTTTATGGGGATGGACAGTGCGACAGGAAGAACTTCAGTGGGGACTCCGATGTGACAGGCCAGAGAAGGGCTGTGCTCGGGCGAATGGCTCCCCCATCAGCAGCCCGGGGCGGGCGCCCTCCTGGGCCTGGCTCGGCCCATCTTGCTGGAGCTGGGGCGCGCGGGGGGGCTAGCGGAGGACACCTGCCTGAGGTGACTGTGCGTGGGGCGCCGTGGCAGCTGCCGCTCGAAGCACTAAACCCAGTGGCCACCGTGACTGTCGGCCTCCGACAGGCTGAACACACGCCGGCGTCCTTTCCTGCCACTCCTGACTAGAGGGAAACACAGCGACAGATCATAGAGAGCCTTTAACACGGAACAGAGAGAGAGACGACACAGAGCAGCGATGACGGCAAGCATCGACGAGACAGGCTGTGGGCCCGCGTGCGCACAGAGTGGACCAGGCCCCGCCGCCCCTGGGCGTGAAGACACCTAGGGATGTGTGGCCTTGTCAGACAGCAAGGGAACAGACAGCAAGGGCTCTGGGCCACTGGAAAGGAGAGCTCTGGGATCATCAGCTGCATCTGGTGTGGGGCAGAAACCACTTAGGTGGGACCAAACTGTCCTCACATTTTGATGAGGACCAGCAGAGAGGGACGCAGGACTGGCATGGCCAAGGCCACTCGAGGATGGTACGGTGTGTGGTCTCTGATTTCAACTGATGAGGCGACAGTTCTTGGGTGCCGTGTGATCGAGGAGCTCGGCGGACTGTGGGCCTGCAGGCAGGGTTCTGGGAAGCCAGGCACACTCACCCTAGCCGGTTCTGATGACCTCTGGAAACCAAGACTGACCACAAGGGGAAGGCCAGAGCCCAGGTCAGCTGGCCACGGGCCCCTGCAAACTGGCTAGAGCGACAATTCCAGGCATACTTCCCCCAGGGAAAGAAGGAAGCAGTACTTCTGAGCGCAAAGCCCAGGAGGCCAGGTGAAAGGAGCCATGTCTCACTTTCAGCTGTGTCCTTGCCAGTCCCAGCTCCAGAGGACAGGCCTGCTTGGGAACCCTGGTAACACTGAGCTGTCTGATGGCAGCCCTGACTGAATAAGACTCCCCCTCCTCTGGGTGGGTGTGGGCACCACTCGAAGGGCTCATGGGAGGTAACGATGGGCCGAGTGGATGGCCGAGAAAAACCTGCCCGTCAGGCCCCAGCCCTCGGTGCCACCTCTCTCCCCCTCTTCGGCTTTCCCAAGGATCCTTGGGCTGTGTGAGAGGTCGCTCGGTTCATGTGCCTCCAGATGGGCGTTGGTGAGCGACCCTGGGTTTCCTGAGGGATGGTGTATGGGCCACCGAGCTCGGGGCGCTCCTCCTCTGAACCCAAGGTGCACCCCGAGAGTGATGTGCATGTACGTGAGGGAGTGTGCATGGGGTGATCCAGAAAACGAACAAAAGGACTCTCCTGCGTCCACTTTCTCATGTTACGCTCACTGCCATCTCAGCTTCTTGAAACCATGAAGGGTTTAAGAGAAAGGCTGACTTCTTCCCTATAATTTTCTCCCTGTGTAATTTTCACCCAAGCGAGTGGAGACAGGACTGGCTCCCTCAGTGCAGCTGTCCTGTTCTCGTCAGGAAACCCTCGTGCAACCCCCATCCCAGGACTCCAAAGCCCCTTCCCTAAAGGGCAGTGGGCCACACACAGATGTGTCTACTGGGCACTAAAACCAGACGGGGCAGCTCCCTGGGGCACAGTGTTGGGCAGTCAGTGACTGGCCCCAGCTTCCTGGTCGGTTCCTGTTGTTATCAGAGTCCCTTCCTTCCACCCATGGTATGTCATGAGCCCCTGAATAACCTCATCAAGGGAGAGACACAGAAGCAGGTGGCTTTTGGCCTCAGGGTGTCCTTGGCAGGGGCACAAGGAGCAGGGTCCCTCCTTTCAGCTGAGATGAGGGCTCATCTCTCGGGCAGGTGTGAGGACCAGACTTAATGTACCCAGAAAGCAGCATTTACAGGGAGCTCTGGGGCCGAGGAAAAGACTCCGCTCATCTCCAGGGGGACTCTGAGCTTGAGACGATGGAAAAACTCTAAGGCACCTTGCCCCTGGGAGCCTGGGCCTGGCTAACACCTTCCTCAGCTCCCACGGCCAGATACGCCTCCTCGGGAAGCCTTCCCAGCTCTTCAGGCCACGCTACTGTGCTCAGGTCCCTGAGAGCATCCTGACTGATGGTGGCCTCCAGGTGCCCTGTGCTCTGCTACCTGCGCCGACTGGGCCTGCAGACAGACACTGTGCACAGGGACGGATGCCCCACGTCCAAGCTAGAACTGATCCAGAATGTGGAGGCTGGAGTGTGGGTCGGGTGGTCAGGAGGATGGCTCCAGGATGAACATGCATGTTGGGAAGACAGAGAGCCTTTAGGGGTTGTCCTGCTTGGGAGCCCAAACCAAGGCTAGGCTTCTGGGAGATCCTGGGGTGTACCTGAGTGGTACTAAGGACAAGCATTAGACACTCCATAAGCTATTTGAGAAAGTGGGAGCCAGGCTCCCCATTTCAGACCAGCTGGGTGGCCTTGCTGAGCTCCAGGGGCCCGGTGGGACGCAAGACCCACTGGGATGTCTGCCACCTGCTGAGAGCTGGTGCTCAGGACACAGAGAGCGTGTAGTTTCAGGAGGAGCACGGATGGTGACAGCCCGCCATGGGTTCATGCTGGAAGGCTGTGTGGGGCTGAGCAGGGCCCTGCTGACTGGAGAGTCCATGCTGTGTCAGCCGTTGTAACAGTTAATGCTGTCCTTGTAGGAGCCGAGCTTACAAGCCACGGAGCAGAGCCACGGGCACCATGCCTGGTGCTGTCGCCTTACAATGGCGTACCTCTTACACTAACTCACCACACACCGGCCTACACAAACCTCACCTTCTGCAGCGAAGGAGCAACTGGCACTTGCTAGTTCAGGGTCTGAAAGGGCCTGGCAGCGAGTCTGTCCAAGTGGGGAACTTCCTGGATGGTGGGAATGTTTCTGACTCAGCACTGTGCCCTCAAAACCCTCTGTGACGACCAGTGGCCCTATGGCAGGATTGCAGGCAGATGTGGGAACCCTGTGATTGTCCCATCCATGCAGGCACAGGGATGCCCAGAGTTCGTGCAGGAACAGGGACACCCAGAGTTGGCTGGATGGGGAGGTTAAAGGCTGCTCAGAAGGCTGGTATCCCCGGGAACGTGCAGCCTGAGGGTGTCTCTGACCTTGGCTCTGAACTCCTTTTGGGGATCAGTATACACCTCCTTTAGTGTCTGCGTGTGCAGAGAGGAGGCCAGCTGCTGACAGGCCCCGCACTCTTCAGCAGCACTTGAGTTATGGGGTGTCTGCTGGGTACACAGGCTGGACCTGGCTGTTACTGTCACAGGGCATAAAAATATAGACACGTGCTGGTCCTTGTGTGTCAGATGTGCTGGGGTCCCTGACACTGCTCATAGCCCATGGCTGCATGGGCCCTTGGTGGCTAGATAAAAGCTGGGATTTCCAGGATGAGAAACACGTACAAGGCCTGGCGGTGATGTGGACAGAGGGGCAGGGGCTTGGCAAGGGAAGTACTTGCTGAGGCTGCAGAAGAGGCTCAGGTGAGGCCTGTGCCCTGCGTCGACAGGGGCCTGTCAGTGGTACCAGACATCTGTGCTATTTTCCTTTTACACAGAGAAGTGTGTGGTCATGTGTTCACTTTGCTGCTGTCTCTGCATCTTTGAAAATGAAAGCACAATGTCCTCGGGAAGGGACTTTTCATCCCAAATGCAGCTGTGTGGATATGAGAGTGTGTGCGCGCGCGCATGCGCATGTGCACAAACATACAAACAGACAGACACGTGCAGGTGGAACTTGGTCACACACAACACAGACACAGTGCCCTGCAGGTCCCCCTTGTGAGCAAAGACCAGCTGAGGAGGGGGCCAGGTCTCCTCCTGGCTTCCAGACAAAACTATCTTTTGCAGGTGCCAGCTGGGGGCCCAGCTCGGATGTGCAGCCAACCTTAATTCAGGCTCGATTCAAGGTGGCCAAGTCTGGGGCACAGAAAAGAGCTGTGGGGTCATGAGAGAGGGTCTAAGTGCAGTGACTCCAGGGTGACCTTGCTACCTTGCTGGCTCGTGGTGGAGGACAACGGCAGAGGGTGGCCTGGGCTGCTCAGGGCAGGCAGGGTACAGGAGAGGCTGGCAGACAGGCCAGGGGTCTGCACCCCAGTGCAAGACCAGGCTAAGTTAACCCTCTCACGACCAGGCTAAGTTAACCCTCTGGAAGCATGTAAAACTGAGAGTGCCTGCAGAGGGGATGAGGGCACCCAGGAGGATCTCAGCCCCTGGACACGGATGACCCACTGTGACCCATGTCAGCTGCTCTTGGTCACAAGCTACTACTTCAAACTGAACATGGGCTCAGGACGGTGACCTAGAATCTGCCTGTTCCAGGCTGGGCCCTGAGGGAAAGTGTCTAGGAGTCAACAGGATTAGAGATTAAGGCTCCGCTAGGCTGGACGCTATTACTCCGGGTGTTCTTTGGAGCAGTGGAGTTCAGGGAACAGGTCTGGTGTCTTTGCTCCTTGGTCTCATGCATGTGGGACCATTCCTCCCCACTCCCCACTCCAGGGGGATTCTGGGCCCTGCTCCCCACCGCACACTCTGCATGTGAATGTGCGGTGGAAACGCACTCCAATCACTCCCCAGGTAAGCCCCTGTGTGAATTAACAGAGGGAAGGATGGTGTCACCACCATATCTGGACCAAGTTGTGTCACTAGTCCTAGGAGCCAACATCAAAGAGGACGCTGGCATGTGAAGGAGGAAGGATGAGCACGGACAGGATTCTTCTGCCCAGGGTTCAGACAGCTGAGCCTGGGAGACCCCATCTGGCTGTGAGTCCCGAGGCTGTGGGATGTGGTAATGGGAGCATGTGGCATGCTCCTGGCTCGCCACCAACTTGGCTCTGTGGCCGGTGGGGCCTGCCAGCGGCCAGTCTCAAGCAGGAGGCGAGCTGCTGCCCCGAGCACACTCCTCAGAGTGACAGGCACCTCCACAGGGTCACAGTGTCCACCTCCCTTCAGTGAGCTCCCTCTGGAAACAGGCAGAGCGAGTGGCTGTGGGGTCCCCAGACACGCATCATGCCCCGAGGTTCTCCTACCCTGGAGGATGCGGCCAGTACCTGACGGGCTCTGGGCAGCGGAGGGTGTGGATGACAAGCTGGCGCCGGCCGAGTCGCAGTGGCTGGTGCTGCCGCTGGGGCTCCCGCTGGTGGAGGGCGGGGACGGGGAGGACAGAGGTGGGGAGCTGTGCTGGTTGATGCACTGGGCCACAGCAAAACCTGCAAGACAAGGCGACAGGTGACTGGGGAGAAAAGTAAGGGGGCGAAGAGCATAGACAGGCAGGAGAAGGCCCCAACTCTGCCCACCTCAAAGCAGGGCTGGAGCCCATTTGAAGCCATGCCGGCCCACTCCCTGGAGGCCTGGATCCATACCATGCAATGAGCCAGCTGTAATGGGACTGGCTGGCTGTAGCTGGATGCCAGAGTTCCTCATGGCAGGGCCCGGGGTCTTTGTGAACATCCCAGAAATCTGCCAAAACAATCCCCAGACTCGAGCTCTGATGTTACTCCTGGGCAGGAGGAGAGGGCCCAAGAGTCTGTCCCACTGAGAGGACTGGCAGTGCCCTGGAGCCCAGCGATGCCAGATTCAGCTGAACAACCAAACTGGCCCCATGGCCTTTCTGCGCAGGACAGAGGATGGGCCCCACATCGAGGAACCACAAAACCTGGGCTAAATCTGGTTTCACTGGGACTCTCCGGAACAAGCGGCCAGTCGCTGTGTTTCTCCGAGTCTCTGTTTCCAGAACTAGGAGCTGGGGGCAGCCCCTGTGCTCAGGACTGTGTAGGGACCAGCTAAGAGAAGCTGACCCTGCCCCAGCACAAGGATCTGGCCCATGGTGGCCGTGCAGCAGCCCTGTCACCACCCCCTTACACAAGCCCAGAGCCGATTCTTCACCTGAGGGTGCTTTTCTGTACCTGCAGTATCTGTGCTGTTTATATTCTACTTTTTTTAAAGGGCCGAGGTTCCAGATTTATTCACTAACTCCACAAAAACATACTTGGAAGATTGCTGGTGGTACCGAGTCAGCCATGGACAGGAGGGGAGGGGCAGGAATTCAGCATCATCTGCAGAACAGGGTGGCAGAGAGGAGGTGGAAGTCTCCTTCTAGCAGAGAGGGGACTGTGACCCTCTTGGCCATTCTCATCAAGCCTGGCTACTCCCTGCCACATTCACGCAAACCTCACTCACAGCACCTGCCCCTTCTGAGCCAGCTCCTGCTGGCCATTCCTCCCTGATCCTGGCCGTCATCTTTTCAGAGCTCAGGCAAACAGGGAGGATGGAGTGGGGGTTGCAGCCCACAGCCCGCTGTCTGCTTTGATAAGCTTTCGCTGGTGCACCGCTAGGAGCCTTCATCACTACTGCCCATGGCAGCCTCCCTGCTTCAGCAATGGAGCTGAGCAGTAACTAGAGACGGCAAAGCTTGTGTGCAAGGTCTAAGGTGTTTTACTCCCTGGCCCCTGGTGGACACAGAGCACCCAGCGTGGCGGAGGGCCGAGCCTGGGCTCTGGCCCCAGCAGGTAGGGCTCTGACCTTGAGGTGTTTACTCACTACAGTTCCGCACCTCCCTGTCTAGATGGGTAGGCACAGGGCTTCGCGAGGTAGAGCTGGGGAACCTGTGACGTCACTCTCCTGAAAAACGGATCTGTATTTTTACGCAAACATAGGCCTTCTGTGTTTGTTTGCCAACCGCTCACTCTTGCTCATGGTATTTCTGTAAGCACCTCTAGGCCAGTTTCTTTCTTCTTTTTACTATAATGGGAGCCTTCTCTCCACCGAGAGGTGACTTTGGACTAAAAGTGGTGTGAAGTCATCTTTGTCTGGGGCCCTGCTCCTAAAAAGTTGGTAATTAGGTGTCAGTGAGTCCATTCTGACTCCTGTGATCCCAAGTGTGTGAAGTGCCCCAAGGCTGTGACATTCCGGGAGCTGACCACTCAGGTTACCTTCTAAGGTGACTGTCTGAGTGAGGGGGTTAGGACTGCTGGCCCTTCAGCTAGTGGTCAAACCCTTAATAGCCTGCATTATCAGGGAGTCCTTTTCTTTAAAAGCTGGGGGCTCTACTCATACCTCCAACAATTCTTTTTGTTTTTGGGACAGTGTAACATGTTCTGACAACAACCAGTGTGTCGCTGGACGCCACATTCCTTATACAGAATTAGTTCCCTGCTGGCCCTCCCCTGAGGTCTGCTGAAAGAAACAGTGGGATTAACGGAGTTCTCAGGAAATGTCATTAAGTGACATATTATGTGTGGGGGATTGTGGTGGGGGAGCAGTGCTCAGATGAACTACAGCACACATCTCTGCAGATCCCAAAGACAGAGAGGAAGGCTCCCAGGGGACAGCCAGTCCCAGCCCCACAGAACTGGTTCTATAGTTGCTTACCTGTAAGTCACTTCAAGGGGTCACCCCCCACACTTACAAGCTGTTTACAGCCTTGAAAACAGATCACCCTTCACAAATACAACAGTCAGAATAGCTTTCTGGAGCTGCTTATTTAGTGGAAGGGCCGACGAGGATGGGAACAAAGGGTGCTCCTGACATGACCTACACCTCGACGAATGGCATGATGTCACCAGGCAGCTGTATGTCTCCTTGTAAGACACACACACTCTCTCCCTCTTTCTCTCAAGCTCTGGCTTAATTACCATCAGACAGAGGGGTCAGGGTGTATGGTGGCCGACAAGGTGCTGAAACTGCAGTCCTGAGAGGCCCTTCATTTGGGGAGTGGGTTCAGGTCAAGCCACCAAGAGCTGAAGATAAAGTCAATCACTATCCTCGATGTGAGTAAGTATCACAGAGAATTGATGCCTTTGAGCTGTGGTGCTGGAGAAGAGTACTGAATATACCATGGCCTGCCAGGAGAACAAACAGGTTCATCCTAGAGAGGGTGAAGTCAGCCTGCTCCTTGGAGGCAAGGATTCTGAGGCTTTGTCTGACATAACTTCGGACATGTTGCAAGGAGGGATCGGTCCTTGGAGAGGAATATCTCCCTTGGAGGGGCAGAGGGATGGAGAAAGAGAGGGAGACTGTCAATGAGATGGATGGATTCAGTGACTGGGATAATGGGGGTAGGTGTGTCAGAGACAGTAAGGTTGGCACAGGATAGAACAGGGTTCAGGGCTGTTGTACACAGGGTCACTATGAATCACAAGCAACTCGACGGCACTAACAACAACAACAACCCTTGATGACACTTGCTTGCAGGTTTTAGGGAGCTCTGGTGGTCTAGTGGGCAGAGCCTGCCGCCAAGGCAAAAGGCAGGAGGTCTGACTCTATCATTTGCTCTGAGAGAGGAAGATGGGCAGTCTCCTCCCACATGTTTTACAGTCTCTGAAAACCCACTGACGGGTCACCTATGAGTCGGCCTCAACTTGAGCTGAGCAGGGATGATGGGACGAATCCTTCCTGTGGCCGCTGCCGTAGACCTCTCCTCTCGTCGAGCTCTCAATCTCCCTGTCTCCTACGCCCATCCTCAAGGTGACTGGTGATATGCCACTAGGTACTCCGGGCCTCCTGCAGTTTCAGGGCTGAGGTAGCTACCTCGCTGAATGGTCAGAGGGTCAGGGTGGTGCCAGGGAACAGCAGTCCATGGCTGGAGTGCCCTTCCTTGCTTTTGCTTCCCCCTGCTAAGGCAGCTCCTGATGACTCGCCTTGGCAGAGATGCCCAGAGTTTTCTGGAAGCGAGTCAAACACACATGGGCTGCCAAGTTCTTGCAGACACAGACGAGGCACTGATCACAGACGAGAGTGCAAGCAATGGGCCTTTGGAGATCTTGTCCAGCGGATACAACCCTGGGCTCTCCCCGGGAGTGAGCAGCTGGTGGTATGCAGCTTACAGGCCCTCCTCATTTTCTTGCCATTTCACCAGCTTCACCTCTAAGGATTTATATGGAAGGATTACTCTGAGAGGAACAAGGCATTGAACCAGAATGAAGGCCAAAGCACTGATGTGTATAATAAAAGATTAGAAACCATCTACATGCTCCAAGCTAGGAAAAAGCCCAATAGGTCTACATGAGATTCTCTGCTAACACTATACACGCTGGCAGTCCTCGAGTGGAACAAGAGAAGGCTGGGTGCAAACACATGTCACAATTTTGTGCATCAATTATCATCACCCTCACAGCAGCACATGGACTTTCTCGGACTTAAGGAAGTCTCTCTCTTTCTTTGCTGTCAAGTAGGAACCAACTCTTAGCTGACCCTTCACTGGCTTTCCAAGGCTGTAAACTGCACACGAGAGGAGACAGACTGTTCATCTTTTTCCTGTGGAGCCACTGGTGGATTCAAACAACGGAGAGGATCAGTCCTTGGGTGAGCAGCATAATTCTCTATGGACCAGGCCACCAAAGATCCCTTCCGAGGGTCTGGGATTCTCAAGACCCCTAACCAGGTCTCAATCGTACTTTCCCCTTTTTGCCTTGAGTTAGAGAAACTAGGAGCTTGGTATAACCACATGACGGAGTCCTAGCCAATGAGATAGAAATGAAAGCGACATGTGAGACATTCAGGATTAAGGGTGGAAGTGAGATACCACCCACCATCCCCTCAAGGAACAACATTCATTCAACCTCTAAACAGGGCTATAAAGTGAATTATACCAGGAAGGAATTGTACTCCTTAGTATCATTAACCATGAGGCCAAATTAGCAGCATTTACTTGAAAAACAAAGCTCAGACAAGTGGAGAAAGGAGGACAAATGGAAACAGGGAATACAGAGAGGAAGTGGGAAGAATGTTGTCACACTGTGGGTATACACACTGCGGGTATACACACTGTGGGTATAGGAACCAGTGTCATAACTGTATAATAAATGTATAAACTGTTGAATGGAAAATGGACTTCCTCTTATAAACCTTCACCTAACTGATGATATTTCTTCTAAGTGGTACAGCAAAAGTCTACGAGTTTGCTGTACTGAGATAGCCTGGGGTTGCTGTGATATTGAATGCTGTGCCCCTGGTGTGTCAAATGCCATAATGGTTACCAATGGTGGGCAGTGTTCGGTAGAACTCCTAGAGTAAGACAAGCTTGGAAGCAGGAGTGGCACCCACTTCCTACACAACATGCCTTTGGAAACCCTACAAACATTAGAGAAATGACGATAATTATGAAACAGGGTTCAGATCTTTTGTTCATCGGGTCTCCAGCAGTCGCACTTGACTCGACACTCAACAACAACAACTGACGATAAAGAGAAAAAGAAAAAGAAGAGAAATG